AACGTAATATTATTTCGCTTTTCAACCAAAAATATCCCCGGTATCACAAAGCCTCGCATAAATGATCGCACTCTTAACATTATTTGCACTTTAACAGGACACCACTTCGAAGTCACGTGTTGTATACCGATGACGTCCCCAAGCGCCAGCCATCACCTCCCGTCCAGCGGCACACGCGGGAAGAGGCACGGACAATGTTAACATATCTCCTCATCCAATTAATCGAGTAATTAACTATCGGTTTAATTAAATTATTAAATATGTTTCGTAAAATCTTTATTGTATTATGACAACATGAATATTATTTTTAGTGAATGTGTTTATTTAAGTATTTGAATGATCCCATAGCGTTGAGGTAGGACCGCGTGACTTAAGAGGGAACGGGCCGGCCTCACCAAACCAGCTTTGCGCAGTGGCAGTATCGTAGCCAATGAGGTTTATCCGAGGCGCGATTATGCTAATTGAAAACTTTTCCCAATACCCCCCACGCTGACTTGAAACACGTCGGCGTCGGCAATTTTTGCAAGCTCTTTCGGGAGCTTTGTCTTGTTTAATGAAGTGTAGAATTGTATTCTGTCCCACGTGTTTGATTCCATACTTTTATTCCATGAAATCAACAGCAAATTTAGATTTAAACCTGTCGTGACTGCAGGGATTCATCTTCTTGGTTCTTTTGGTAAAGTCACGTAGAAGGAAAATAGTAAAATAAAACATAATAAAAAATTTCCGGCGACGACTGCTTGCGTTGTGGCCGAAACGTCGTTAGAATTATTTTATAATGTTTTTATTATTATTTTATTATTTCCCTTCTACGTGACTTACCGAAAGAACCAAGAAATCAACAGAAAGTTCAACATCTGTAAGCTCTGCCCCTTTCTCCTTTGGGACCGTCCATAAATCACGTCACACGGTTTTGGACATCTGCCCGCCGTCACACGGCGTCACAAAAAGTCAGACCCTCCTCAAATATTATGTCACAAAGCTCTGGCCCCCCCAAATAAAACATGCTTGAAATGCTTTAACTATTGTCATTGTATTGCGTATTAATGTGCCGCTGCATTCTGATGTTGTAGGAGAAAATATTTATAAAAAAAAGTCTATTTAATTAAGTAGAACGTGTTGTCTATATTTATTAAAAGAGGCGCAATTTTGATGTGACGTCACATTTCTACAAGCCCCCCGCCCGCAACACATCGTCACGAATGTCCTGACCCCCCCCCCCCCCCCAGGTGCGTGACGTCATTTATGGACGGCCCCTTACAACCAAACAGTATAAGGAAACAGCCGATTTCTGAATAATTAAAACGTAAATATTATTTTGCTTCTCAACCAAAAATATCCCCGGTATCACAAAGCCTCGCGTAAATGATCGCACTCTTAACTTTATTTGCACTTTACAGGACACCACTTCGAAGTCCACGTGTTGTATACCGAGACGTCCCCAGCACCAGTCATCACCTCCCGTCCAGCGGCACAGACAATGTTAACATATCTCCTCATCCAATTAATCGAGTAATTGACTATCGGTTTCATTAAAATATTTAAATATGTTTAGTAAAATCATCATTGTATTATATAAGCAAATCAAAGGTTTTTTTTTAGTGGATGTGTTGATTTTAGTTTTTGAATGATCCCATGGCGTTGAGTTAGGGCCGCGTGACTTAAGAGGGAACGGGCCGGCCTCAACAAAGCAGCTTTGCGCAGGTGGCAGTATCGTAGCCAATGAGGTTTATCCGAGGCGCGATTATTGCTAATTGAAAACTTTTCCCAATACCCCCGCCACGCTGACTTGAAACACAGTCGGCGTCGGCAATTTTTGCAAGCTCTTTCGGGAGCTTTGGGTTGTTTAATGAAGTGTAGAATTGTTTTCTGTCCCACGTGTATGATTCCATTCCATGAAATCAACAGCAAATTTCGAATTAAAGCTTTCGTGACCGTCGGGATTCATCTTCTTGGTTCTTTCGGTAGTCACGTAGAAGGGAAATAATAAAATAATTATCACGACGACGACTGCTTGCGTTGTGGCCGAAACGTCGTGAGAATTATTTTATTATTTCCAGAGGTGTGGACTCGAGTCATGTGACTTGGACTCGAGTCATGAATTTGATGACTTCAGACTCGACTTGGGACTTGCATAACAATGACTTTGTCCCACCTCTGAGGTGTGGACTCGAGTCATGTGACTTGGACTCGAGTCAGACTCGAGTCATGATTTGATGACTTCAGTCTCGACTTGGACCTTGCATAACAATGACTTTGTCCCAACCTCTGAGGTGTGGACTCGAGTCATGTGACTTGGACTCGAGTCAGACTCGAGTCATGAATTTGAATGACTTCAGACTCGACTTGGACTTGCATAACAATGACTTTGTCCCACCTCTGATTATTTCCCTTCCACGTGACTTTACCGAAAGAACCAAGAAGTTCAATATCTGTAGGCTCTGCCCCTTTCTCCTTCGGGGCCGTCCATAAATGACGTCACTAGATTTTGGACCTCCGCCCCCCCCCGTCACACGGCGTCACAGAAAGTCAGACCCCCCCCCTCAAATATGACGTCACAAAGCTCTGCCCCCCCCCCCCCCCAAAATAACATGCTTCAAATCGCTTTAAACTATTGTCATTGTAGTGCGTATTTAATGTGCCGTATCACTCTGATGCTGTAGGAGAAAACATTTATTAAAAGTCGATTTAATTAAGTAGAACGTGTTGTCTATATTATTTAAAGTTCCGCATTTTGATGTGACGTCACATTTCTCAAACCCCCCCCCCCCTCGTCACACATCGTCACAAATGTCTGACCCCCCCCCCCCAGGTGCGTGACGTCATTTATGGATGGCCCCTTACTACCAAAAGTATTAGGGAACAGCCGATTTCTGAATAATTAAAACGTAAATATTATTTCGCTTTTCAACCAAAAATATCCCCGGTATCACAAAGCCTCGCATAAATGATCGCACTCTTCACTTTATTTGCACTTTAACAGGACAACCACTTCGAAATCACGTTTAGTCTCCCGATGACGTCCCCAAGCACCAGTCATCACCTCCCGTCCAGCGGCACACGCGGGAAGAGGCACGGACAATGTTAACATATCTCCTCGTCCAATTAATCCAGTAATTAACTATCGGTTTCATTAAAATATTTAAAAATGTTTAGTAAAATCCTTATTGTATTATATAAGCAAATCAAGGTTTTTGTGGATGTGTTTGTTTAGTATTTGCATGATCCCATGGCGTTGAGGTAGGGCCGCGTGACTTAAAAGGGAACGGGCTCGGCCTCAACAAACCAGCTTTGCGCAGTGGCAGTATCGTAGCCAATGAGGTTTATCCGAGGCGCGATTATTGCTAATTGAAAACTTTTCCCAATACCCCGCCATGCTGACTTGAAACACAGTCGGCGTCGGCAATTTTTGCAAGCTCTTTCGGGAGCTTTGGGTTGTTTAATGAAGTGTAGAATTTGCTTGAGGTTTAAGTTAGCAGAACTTGCCGTGATTGTAATTATTATTGTAATAATTTTGCACTGAGCTGCCAAGCCAGAGGTCGCAGACCCAATCTCTCAAACTGCTTTGCACCCAATAAAAAATTAACCCGTAAAACAAAGTTTTTCACTCTAAATCCTTTATATGCGAGTCCTCTCATCCTCTGGCTTGAGATGGCTGCCACCTATGGGTCAGATGATTGTCTGCCAGCATTAAGCAATTGGTTATTAAATATTTGTAAAAATTTCCCTAAACAGTGTAAAATTTAGGAAAAAATTTTTCACGAAAATTAATTGTCACGCACAACGAGTCTGTGTGGAAAATGTCAGCTCGATTGAATCACGGGAAGTGTGTTAAAAAACTACCGAAATATTTGCACGGTCGTAAGCAAGCACGCAAGCACGCAAGCAAGCAAGCAAGCGAACTTAATATAAAGGATTTAAAAACACGTTCCTTCGGAGTGGGCAGGTAGGGACTTGGTTGGACAGCGTATTCGTGCACGACAGACAGACAAATAATTCCTGGTGGGCAGTGTGGAACCTGTTTGTTTCCTACCTGTATAACCTCAATTATGGAAAACATCAGTGTGTTTATACGTCTGGGCCCGGTAGAGTGTTTCTGCTTAAAGAAAAATGTGTAATGTTTTTTTAAAATCCTATTTAAACTCAATTGTTTATTATATGTTAATGTTGACTGAAAGCTTTCGTCACTGCAGGAATTCATATTCTTTGGGGCTTTCGGTAAAGTCACGTACATACAAAATAACGTCGTAGTTTTTTGTTATTTTCTTTGAACCTCTCTGCGTGACTTTACCGTAAGACCCAAATAATATAGTTGTTAATGCTACGTGAGTTTGGACACAGTTCTAAGTATCTATGACGGGCGATGCCTTCTGCGCAGTATCTGATGTAATTAGATGATCCAGTACCGCTGACCAGAGAGGCCGAGACTCTGGAGCATTACCACGACGAATCCGCCGTATGAATAACGTCACCAAACCTCCCGTCCAGCGGCACACGTGGGAAGAGGTCGGCAAAAGTCTGAGTACTCTCCAGGTAATTTCCTCATCCAATGAGTCGAGTTATCGACTATCAAAATATTCCATATTAGCAAAAATCTTTATTGATATATTTCGAGATTATACCCTTAAAACGTATTCCTATATAAATCGTAATATTTGTTTCGAATGGATTCGATTATTTTCGGCTTTGGACTGATCCCATGGCGTTGAGGTAGGGACGTGTCCGCTAAGAGGGAACGGGTCGGCCTCAACAAACCAGCTTTGCGCAGTGGCAGTATCGTAGCCAATGAGGTTTATCTGAGGCGCGATTATTGCTAATTGAAAACTTTTCCCCAATACCCCGCCACGCTGACTTGAAACACAGTCGGCGTCGGCACATATTTGCTAGCTCTTTTGGGAGCGTTGGGTTGTTCAAGAAGTGTAGAAGAAGAAACAACTGGGCCTGAGGTTTTAAGTTAGCAGAACCAATACCTGCCGAGATTGCAATAAGTTTGCACTGGACTGCCAAGGCAGAGGTCGCAGACCCAATTTGTCAAATTGCGTTCACCCAGTAAAATTAAACTCGTCAGCCCATGGCTGCATCCCTGGCACGACGGTTATGTTGTTCTCTGTCCCACGTGTTTGATTCCGTACTTTTATTCCATGAAATCAACAGCAAAGTTCAATTTCCGCAAGCTCTGCCCCTTTCTCCTTATACCCTGCCCCTTCGTAATCAATAATGATCAGGCCCAGTTGTTTCTGCTTCTTCCACCCCCGCGCCTTTCCTTTTTAGGCCCGCCCATTCTCATTTAGGCCACGCCCATTGTGTCTAGCCCCGCCCCTCCCCCTCGCACACGGGGTGGGGGCTGTGAGAAGGGGGGCAGTGCGCGCGTGTCGCAGTAGGACCAGAATGCCTCTTAGAGCAGCCAGATAACAACAGATTGATTATCCCGTTGTCAACCAATAAGGTGACGCTATTTTTAATTATTGGAAAATTACCATTACATTTTAAGCTATAGAGAAAGGTAATCACTGACTTCTTGCATTTGTTATTCCACTTACAACTAAAAGTATAAGGGAACAGCCGATTTCTGAATAATTTAAACGGAAATATAATTTTGCTTTTCAACAAATAAAATCCACGGTATCACAAAGCCTCGCGTAAATTATCGCACTCTTAACTTTATTTGCACTTTAACAGGACACCACTTCGAAGTCACGTGTTATATACCGATGACGTCCCCACGCGCCAGCCATCACCTCCCGTCCAGCGGCACACGCGGGAAGAGGCACGGACAATGCTAACATATCTCCTCATCCAATTAATCGAATAATTGCCTATCGGTTTCATTAAATCTTTAAATATTTTAGTAAAATCCTTATTGTATTATATTAGCAAATCAAATGTTTTTTTAGTGGATGTATATCTATTTTAGTATTTGAATGATCCCATGGCGTTGAGGTAGGACCGCGTGACTTAAGAGGGAACGGGCCGGCCTCAACAAACCAGCTTTGCGCAGTGGCAGTATCGTAGCCAATGAGGTTTATCCGAGCGCGATTATTGCTAATTGAAAACTTTTCCCAATACCCCGCCACGCTGACTTGAAACACAGTCGGCGTCGGCAATTTTTGCAAGCTCTTTCGAGGGTTTTGGGTTATTTAATAAAGTGTAGAATTTGCTTGAGGTTTTAAGGTAGCAGAGACAAAGCCTGCCATGGTTGTAATAATTTTGCACTGGACTGACAAGCCAGAGGTCGCAGACCCAATTTCTCAAACTGCTTTCTCAAAATTTTGTAAATGTTTTGAATGATTGTTATTTAACATTTTTATTTTAATGATTCTACCAGGGCTTTTTCATTCTGTGGAATGAAAATGTGATTTTTCTAATTGTACTCTCCATTTTGCTTCGTTCTACTACAAAGTTTCAAGTATTTATTTATATTTATAATTACATTCGAAATATTATAATTATAAGAGAATTTCAATATAATATTTTGAACATCTGCAGTTTTAATAAGACGTTTAATATTTTCAAGTGAATTTGATGCTATATTTCAGCTTTCCAACGCCTCCTTTTTATACGTGTTTTCTCCTACAACATCAGAGTGCAGCGCCGCATAAAATACGCACTTCAATGACAATAGTGATTTGAAGCATCTTCTTGGTTCTTTCGGTAAAGTCACGTAGAAGGGAGATAATAAAATAATAAAAATAAAACATAATAAAATAATACAATTCTCACGACGTTTCGGCCACAACGCAAGCAGCCGTCCTCAGGTAAAGAACAGGTCTGTCGGAAAGACAGCGTCCGAATGAACACCACCAAGCTTGGCAGCGTATATTTAAGCTGGGTTGGA